TTATGGTTCTTCCACTTGGGCTTCCCAAGTAGTTAGAATTATAGGTATGCACCACTGTGCTAACTCCCCATTCCCCCTTTACACTAACAGTAATGTACTATATACATTTTTCTGCATTTAAAACACATACCTCATCTTCTCCTACCCTAGCTCAAAACCCTTTTTTGACTTGCTGTGACTCTTTAGCTAAATTTTCTTCAGAAACATTTTGCATGGTTTTCATAGTGTTTTAAAATTAGAATATTTAGACTGGTCCTGTTGTATTTTGTTGGCTACAGATTGACTCCCCCCACCCCCACCCCCACTCTTGTATTAATGCGCCTCCCATCACACACTTCTGCTCCCCTCCCACCCTCCACACGTGCTGGCAATGGTACTGCCTTTCTCTCTAGCCTCAGCTGCAGCCCACCTCCCCTGCCCTCTCCATGGTGACTTTTATTCAGTTCCTTCAGTGCCATGGTGACTTTTATTCAGTTCCTTCAGTGCCCTGAGCTCCTTCCCCCTCAGCATGATGCCCAGGTTCTATGTATGGTGAAGCTGCCAGTGTCCCATATCCTTGCATTGCCTCTTCCTCCTCTGCACCCCTCTGCTGCTCTGCACCCTTCAGGCCTTAGAGCCCTCGTGTTCACCCAGAGTCCAAGCACCATGAATCCATGATTTCCTGCCTCTTCTCTCTTACAGTACTTTCCACACTTGTAGTAACTGTGTTTTGTCAATTCTAAAATTCATATATCTCATATTTTAATCTTTCTGAATCTAGCTGGTATCTTGTCAATTAATTGTAATGGTGCCACTGATAGAATTTTAGATTAGATGAAACTGAGTAAAAATATCTGTTGACATGTGTCTTTCCCACTAGGGTGTATGTGCCATGAGGGCAGTGACAGTGAGCTTTCCTGTTCCCCTATATTCTAGCCAGGCATGTGACAGATTCTCATAACCTTGTGGACTCAAAGAGTGGACAAGCAGGGAGTGAAGTATGACTTTATTTGGATCCTGAATTTCCCTCCCCTCATTGTTTTCATTGCCCAGATTTGATAAATCCATGTTTTTCCTTAACTTTATCCTTCAGGGCTTTGAGATTGCATCCTCTTCCCCTAATCTTTGTCTTTATAGCTTGAAGAGATTCATTAGCTCAGAGTTGCTTCACAGAGAAACACTTCATCTTTCTGTTCATGTTAGTTAGCCATGAAGCAGTCTTCATGAAGCAGTCTTATGAAGCAGTCTTCATAAGAAGAAGACTTATGAAGACTCATAGTCTTATGAAGCAGTCTTTCTTGAATTAGAATGACATAGTGTTTTCTAGTTCATTCCTTGTCCCCTTTCTGATAATTTACTGTGTTTTACTGGTTAATACTTTTGATTATTATAGCCAATGAGGCTGACATTCAGGAAGAATAACTGTCCATATCTTCTAAAAAGTTCTGCTTTAAAAGAGAAACTTTTTAGAGCTCTAGGGTCCAGTGGATGAATACAGGAACTCTCCAGGACAGCTTAGTGATCAAATATGGTTGCGTTTGTGAAAATTACTCATTCCTATGTTTCTTTCTCTTTTCTCTAAATTATATGCTCAGTTTCATTTGGTAGACTTGAATTTATAAGTATAATGAAGAGCCTCACCCAAAGTAGAATGCAGAGTGCCAGTGTTGCTACATATAGCTGGCAAACATTTAATATTTGTTTTAGGGTTTCCTAGAAAAGAAAATCATAAAATGGAGAATGATTTTATTCCAGCCATCCACATTCTCACTGCCTAAATGTTCTGTGGATGCTCTTATACTAAGTGCACCATTGTTGTGTTACCCATTGCTAACTCAGACCTCACACATCCCAGGTCATTATACAAACTTTTAGATATACAAATAGACATTTTTCTTTATGACCACTTGACACTGATCATTAAACCTGCAAAGATTCATTGCCCCACACTTTCTTTCATGTCCATATAAGATTATGTGCCTTAATGACTTAAACAAGTTAATGGACTAGGTTACTTGCCAGCAGCATAAGCGAGAAGTCAGAACCTATCTTCCATACTTAGCATTGTTTGAATTACTTTCCCCAAAGGTGCGGTATTCTTCTTTCTGGCAGTGAAGCTGTGGCCAGTTTCCTGCTCTCCTCCATGTCCATGACATCTTCATTCCTGGTCTTCCCACAGTGCATTCCGTTAGTTAGTCTGAAATTTCCTGGCTGGCTGGAGCTCAGGGTTGCCTGAAAACTGTGGGTTTCCCTCTGCTTTGGCTCTTCTGGATTACTTACAACAGTGCTGAATTTACAACGCTGATCTCTGACACATGCTGCTCCTTTCATTTTTTTATTAATAATGGTCCCAAATATGAGACCTATTTGAGTCCCATATTTCAGTGCCTATTTGAAATGTAACAATATATGTGCAAAAAAGGATCTTTGAAAGTCTAAAAAGTGTCTACATGGTCCATATTGATTATACACTCTTACCTCAGAAGTTCAAATGATATGTATTTATACATAAAATATAGACATATACACAAAGTGCACATGTATAACCGTATAGATATATAACTTACATATGTACACAGATATATGATGTCATGTTTGTGACACATACCCACACAAAACTGTACTACCTGTAAAATACACTCTTTATTTTTGAGACAAAACTAGTGAGCAGAGATGGTAGAGATGTGTGTGATCAGAGCAAAATTTCATGGAAGTCAGAATGTTAAGACTTCTAGCCTACCTTAATTAACATGTGGACCTGAGTAAGTTATTGAATCTTCTTGGGATTCAGCTTTTGTCATTTTTTTTTTTTGAGTCAGTGTCTCTTACTTGAGGTTTTCCTACCACACCCTCCCAAACGCTGGGATTACAGGCATGTGCCACCACACCTGGATCAGCTTTTGTCATTCCTACTGAGAGAAGGTAGGGTTAGATCAGTGATTTGCAACCATTATTTCACTTTAGAAGTACTCAGGGAACCTTATAAAATGTAGACGCTCAGGCCCCGTGGAGAGATTCTGATTTAATTAAAAGAAATTCTCCTCTGTGAGTCAAATGTACAGTAGCCAGGGCCAAGAACTGCCAAGTTGACACAATGTACTCTTGGCACTTTCATGTGTGTGAGTGCCTTGCTTTATTTTTGTTTCCTAGGATAAGGACACTATGCTGAGAGCCTGCAGACAGGGCTATTCCTTTTGTTTGATTCTGTAGAACTTTCTGGGTTGAAGTCCTGAGTCAGACACCAACCCCTTTCTGTCCCCACATGTGGAATCTTCTTGTCCCCTCGAGTACAGAACCTCCTGGCAGCCACCCTCCTCTACTAGTGCTGGAGTCTTCGACCTGGGTAGGAATCTCAGCCGTGTCTGTGGTGGGGCATGCTGGGAGCTTCTGCCCACGTGGTTCCTGCCACGGGGTCCTCAACCAGTGGTCAACAGCTTGAGTGGAGTGTGCATGGCTTTATTGCCATTACCAATTGTCACACTAATTATCCTATTCAAAATTTTGCTCTCTAATTTCATTCTCTTGACAATTCCATAACCATTAGTCTCTGACCCCTGAAATGACTAATAAGTACTTTTTGTTCTGACACAGTAGATTTAAAAAAACTTTTAAAGCCTGTTGTGGTAGGTTCCAGTCAATTTGGTACCTGTGAAATGACCAGTGAATACTGGCAAATACTATTAACACAATTAGAACTTAAAAAGAAAAGAATGGTGAATTTCAAGTGTCCTAGATTTCCCTCCCCAAAATGTGTCTTGTTTCTAGTTCTTCCTCCCCTTTTGCTGCCCCCTCCCTCAGTGTAGGGTTATCTCCTCATTCTAGTCTCTGCTCACTCTGTAAGGAGAGGGTGCTGGCTGCAGTTGATGATGTCAGGCCTGGGATGAGCACCTGCATCACCACAGTAATCCTGATACACACGGGCTGAGAGGTGAGGAAGCCAGGGTGCCAGAGCTCCACAGCACCTGAGGCCAGTCACAGGCAAAACTGTACTAAATGTCATCTCATGCATGATTCAGTCCTTAGAGTGACCACTATGCTTTACCAAGGATGGAATCATGGATTGAGATGGTGCACCCTTGCCCACACTCACGGGCTGGTAAATAGTAGAGTTAAAATCTTGGCCATCGCAACCACTTGGCCGTGCTAGGGTTTTTAGGATCATTACTGCCACAGGGGCACAGGGTGACTGAGTAACTTGCCTGAGCTCACCACACTAATAAAAGGCAGAGTCAGGGTTTGACCTAGCTCTTTCTGATTCCACAGCCTCAGTTACAAGTGCCACGCCTGTTGCCTTGCATGCTTTTTCCATGGTACATCTGTCTGTCCATCACACCTCTCAAGCCCTCCCAAACTCTTTTTTTTCTGTCTGCTCAGAAATAGCCTGTGTCTATTTCCTAGGCCTGTTATTTAATTTATGCATTTATTTTTTTATATGGACTTCTAATGCACTCTGAGGGCTGGTCCACTGACCCTCATTCTTGAAATGCCCAGAAACCTGAGCCTGCCCATCAGCCTGTCTCCCTTATCATCCACCAACTGCCAGGGTTCTCCTGTCTTCAGTGTCTTCTGTCTCCTTCTCTTTAGCCAGCTTTTCCCAAATGAATACCTGTCCTGTGCTGCAAGGTCTGGTGGGAGGCGTGGCATTCTCCCCCTCTTCCATCTGGGTTCATCCTCTCTGGGCAGCCCCTGCTCAGTCCCTGTTACTCCCAGGAGCACTCCCTGCAGACAGGGTGTCTCATTATGGAGCCTCATTATGGAGTCTTACATCATAAGTAACCTGAAGGCAAAGGCCATGTAAGAGCAATCCTGGGAATGACATAGTTGCTTAATAAGTAGGCATTGGATGAGTTATTGATTTGTGATAATAGTATCTTCCCACTTAAATTATCTGTTAATTTTGAGTCCAGAAAAACAAAATTTTGAAATGTTAATTTATCGAATTAAAAAAAAAATGAAGTGTTATTGTGTATATTTTTAGGGCTGGTAAAACTGATCTTCTAAAACTATTGCTGTCCTTCTAGTAAACGTCCCTTCAACCGTAATGGAAGTCATGTGTCGACAGGATGCCCTGCAGCCCTTCAGCAAGAGCAACAAACTCTCCCCGGCCACCCAGCAGCGCTCTGTCGTCTTCCCCCAGACACCCTGCAGCAGGAACTTCTCTCTGCTGGATAAGTCTGGGCCCATTGAGTCAGGATTTAACCAAATTAACGTGAAAAACCAGCGAGTCCTCGCCAGCCCCACCTCCACCAGCCAGCTCCACTCCGAGTTCAGTGACTGGCATCTCTGGAAATGCGGGCAGTGCTTTAAGACTTTCACCCAGCGGATCCTCCTCCAGATGCACGTGTGCACGCAGAACCCCGACAGGTAACCTGTGACCGGCTCTCACGTCACTCACGTCACGCAGTTTGTTTAGTGAGAACCACTGCTTGCCTTCCTGCGGGCTTCCAGTCACTGCCACCAGCCACACCTCGGGGAAACCCTGGCCTAAGAGGTGCCTGCATTCTGGAAGTTGGGAGAGTCCTTTGTGGCCCCGATTGTTTAGGGGGCTACACAGACAGGTTGTGGCTACAAAGAGCAATCTGCACTTGCTGTCCCAACAGTTCTGTCCAAGTTTAAAAGGGAGCAAAATAGAAGGCACATTTATGAATATCATAGGTGGAAAATGAGGTCAGGACAATTAGACTCTTCTCTGTCTTCCAAAGATAATATAGCTGGCTGCTGTGAGGCTGTCACAGTCATTTCAGAGTTCACCTCCAGTGTGCTGCGGGGATGAACTTAATTAAGTACTAAGAGGTAATGAATTGGAATTTTTTGCTTAGTACTATTTTTCTTCAGAGCATGCAAACCCATAAATCCTGCAAAGCTGTCAAAAGGAAATACCTACCCTGCTGGTGATGTGGAGGAAAACAGCTGCCATTTATTCAATAAACTAATATCCACACACAAGAAAAATGTTGACTAGATACCTCAGAGTCAAAGTTGGTTTGAAAGTTTGTCAATAAAGAATTTTATGGCCGTGAAGTGAGGATGAAATTTAGCTGAACAAGTGAATTAAAATTTCAGGTACTCTGACGAGTGGCACAGTAGATATAATGGAACTATTATTTATGAATCAAAACTGGTTTATTCGACAGTCTTGATAGCTGGGAGCTCAAAAGACAAAAATCAAATTAATTCAATAGGAAAGGATTGCTTATGTTTTATCTCTCTTTTACATCCTATGAAAACTTGATTTAAACCAAAATACCTAAGAATAGCATTGAAAATGCAGCCTGAATATAAAATCAGAAAATAATTTTTTGGAACTAGGATTGGAAACCCTCAGAAGCAGGAACTCTCTTGAGTTAATTTTGCTACTGATTAACCTTAATTAAGCAATCCACTTAACCTTCTTTGCCTAGTAATATGTGCTCAGTCCTTCCCTCCCACGTCTGCAGGACACAACCATGTGCTTAGAGAATCCAAGCCGGGGCAGGATGTAGGTGTGGTGGAAGGGATGGGTATGTTCTAAGGTGCTTTTGTACATTCCCATGTGTGTACCTTTACATTTGTATCATTCTAGAAACTGCTAGCTTCGTTAGCTGCAAGCATTGCTGTAACTAATTAACGGTGAAACATTTACATGAGGGCCGTTAAGGAAGCTTTTCGACGAAAGTGTCAAGGCACTTGTGCACACCTTAGTACTTCTGGCTATAGAAATGATATACAAAAGTGTGAAAATGTTTTCCTTATTCTGAAATGATTTTTTAAAATTTACTTTCCTAGAAAGTGTGTGCTTGTGTGTGCACACACACACATATATATATATATGTGCATATATATATATACATATATGTGTATATATATATATGCACACATATACACACATATATGTAATCAAGACATACCTAACATACCTATTATGTTTACAAATCATTTTAACAGTGTTTACAAAATATAAACGATGCATCAAAGTCTCAACTTGCTTTTAAAATTGAGTGAGTCAGATGTACAGATCTATTATTGGTGAAGATTTGTTTTGGTCATATGATTTGGACATGAAAAGTCAAATTAATAGTTGAAAGACTCTGGATATTGAAACTTTGAGTATGATATGATATTATGCTGAATGTCATAAAAGCAATGAAAATATTTTATGGTAAATAGAAAGATGCTGAAACAGACTGTTTTGTCTAACCCATTACACCTAGAAAATCATGTGTTTAATGGTTTAAGTCCCTATAAAGTTTTTTTAATATAAAATAATAGTGTCACAGTCTGTAATACATTCATGAAAACTACCAGAAAAAAATCTTAGAAGTTAGCTTCTATGTACAAAATGAGAGATTGTAGCTAATTTGGGGAGATTAACAAAACCCAGATGGCATGAGCTTGCCACCCTGTGCAGGGTCCTTACGGGTTCATGTGACTCAGACACTGGGTATGGTGTGGCCAGCCTTCTCAGATGAGGTAGGTTAGCAGTTCATAGCCAACGTGGGATCAAATTACAATCCCTTCCCTGCATTTTGTTGGTGAAGATTTCAGAGGGATTGCCATCATTCATGACTACGTTAAAATTAAGAATCATGGCTTCAAAAATGTCAGTCCCTTTGTAGGCAAAGTAATAAAGTACAATGTTTCTTAGTAACAATGGGGAGATGCTTTAGTAAAGCAGGTATATTTAAGTGAGGAGAAAATAAATGGAGATGTTCAGTCAGTGTGATCTACTAATTGCATTCTAGACACACAATTTGCTTTTAGCACATAGGACTGGTGTGTGATAGTGTAGAATCTAGGATGTTCTCTTTGTACCAGAAAGTTTGGCAGTGGAAGATGCTCTCCATAATTTTTAATCACACAAACAAATCAATAAATAGAAGAAATGAATGGAACTATAATCAGACATTAAATTTGTTTGTGATAGTTGCTAAATTTGGAAACTGATCTGTTACCTTCTTAGAAACTTATACCTGTTGAACACACAGCTGTTCTTTGGTGATTGACTCCACAATTCACTTGGGTTCCATATTTGGCAGTTTGTGCCTATTTATCCACATACAGTTGTCCCTCAGTATCAGTAGGGACCCCAAAGACACCAAAATCTGTGCATACTCAAGTCCCTTTTGTAAGATGGTATAGAATTTGCATATACCCTTTGGACTTCCTCCTGTATACTTTAACTTATCTCTGGATCATTTATTGTAATACCTAGCACAGTGTAAATACTATGTAAACATTTGCTTTTTTGTCCTGTTTAGGAATAATAACTGTACATGTTCAGTAGAGACACATTTTTTTCTGAATATGAATTGGTGAATGTGGAGCCCACATGTATGAAGGGCCAATTATACAGTGAAAAAAAACTTAACAATCAGAAAACATTTCCCTTCTGTTTGAAAAACTCAGTGCTTTTACTTTGATAGGAAAATCTTAGTAGAACCTGAGGCAAGACAGGGAGACATGGAAGACAAAGTCAGTAGGGTAAACATGTTAGAGTTTCAAACAGGCCCAAATTTGAAACAGGTCCAAAAGATTTTTCACTCAACAGAGTGAATATTTGTCCATGAAACCCTAGACATTTGAACCTTCATCAAAGAGACTTTCTGTATTCATGAGGTGCCATCCAGAAGTCTATTCCTGGATATAAAGGAGAGATGTGTGGGCACTCAGCAATGTCTACCCCTGAATTATTTCCATTGAACGCAAAACAATTCTGCTAAAAACACATCTATGAGGGTCCAGGAGCCACGACTGTTCTGTTACTATTGAACAAATAAACCCCAAATCTCCTTTTCCCTAGGCTACTGACACCTCTTCCCCCCACTGAATTATAAGGGACCTTGGAAACATTTGAGCTTTTAATAAGCTTATTGCCTAAGCCAGGGGGCTCAGCTCACTTTTGCCTGAATCAAGAGTTAGAAAGTTAGAAATATTCTTTCTTTCTGTTTGCCTGCTACAGAAACTGTCCACAGTCCCAGTCCCACTGGGGGCTCCGGACAGGGATAAGCAAAGCCTTCAGTCACCGCAGACTATTTTCTGATGAATATGTTCTCTTTTGGCTTTTCACAGAAAGTGTCTTTATCATCTTATCTTTATTTTGTATCCTTCTTTTCTTTTCTCCTTTCGTATATATTTAAATGGAAGGTCTGCCTGACACTCTTCAGCTGCTCACATTTGGGTATAACATTTGGGTATAACATAAGTGTCATGATTTGTAATTGGATGAGGTCATGGTAGAGGGAAAAGTGACTTTAAAAGGCAATGTTTGGTTGGAGGAGTCTGGAGCTTGTCCACCACCATAGGAGTTTGTTAGAGGGTATCAACACTCTTTTGTTCACTCTTTCTGCCTCTTTCCATGTGAAGGTAAACTTTCTAGTTTTCAGTCTTCTGCAGATTCTGGTTCTGCACTTTTGTCACCTTTCAGAATCTTTTCCTTACATAGGACTAAGTTCTTTTCCTTTTCCATACAGCTAGCAGTGACTTAAGTAGAGTCCCTTTGAAGTCTTGGGAGATTTGCACTTGGGCTGGCTGCTTTGGAGCAAGGAGAGGATGTAGCCCCAACTGAAGAACTTTTGTCCTGGACGCTCTAATGCCTTGAAAGAAAAATCAAAGCAGGATTAATAATTTTAAACCAAACCACACTGAATTATGTTAAATGTTTCATCCTTTTCCTATGTGTAAACCAAACCAATTACAGACTTAGAGCAAATGAATTGCACATTTTACTGGCGTAATCTTTGGCAGAGGAGCTGCCGGTGACAGAGAATGCCAGGGGATGTACAAAATTGTCTCATTGCTTTCTTTCTGCTTAAAAGTTTACCAGCATCGATATGTGCTAACTAAGTCTACCTACACTTTGTCTGTTTTTCAGTTGTTTTTTTTATTGAGTATGGAGCACTTCCTAGTTCTTCACAAAGCTTGATCTTTCTGTGTTGGAAATAGCCACACAGATTATTTAAATTTAGATTAATCAAAGTTAAGTAAAATAATACTTCAGTTTCTCAGTTGCACTAACTATGACTCACATGCTGAAATTGCTCTGTGTGGTTGGTGACTCCTGTCGTGGATAATTCAGGCTTAGGACATCTCCATCATGGGCAACACCATTAGAAGTCTCAAGTAGCAACACCACCACAAGGTACTTTTAGTTTTTTGTGCTGCTTTGAGAATAGTGAAATGGGGTTTTGTGCATGATGAGTTGGAGAATGAAGTGCTTTAGAAAGGAATTTCCCAAATGCAGTGACGTGAGATCCTGGAAGGAGTTGTGCTAAATGCAGCACCCATGAACGTCAATCTTGAGAGCTTGCTTGGAGGTTCTAGCACAGAAGTGTAGCTACTCATATACCTTTGGCCAAAGAATGGTCTCCCTCTATCTGGGAAGGTTGTCCTCCTCATCCAAGCACACAGCTTTGAGAGGGACACACATAGAGTGGTGAAAGAGGAAAGGGACACCTGCCTAGTCAACCAGATCTACCAAATCAACCCAGGTGACCCATGAGGTGACAGGTGTCACAGTCAGATCATCCTTACATCCCCATGGATGTGCCTTCTCTGGTATGACACATCAAAGGAGACAGAACTTTGGCATTCAGGTTAATTATATCCAAAAGTTTAATAAGTTAAACCTTATATTTTTTTACCAGACTTTGAAAAACTAGTGGAAATCTTGGCCATCAGAATAAGAAGCTGAGTATTGGCAACTAGCTGTGTGTTCCAAAGGCCCTGTGTTATAACTAGAGATATAGGGTGTGCTGATGGAAAGATGTACATAGTCTTACTTCCTGTCACCAGTTGTCCCAAAAGAAGGTATGCGGTCTAAGACTCCAAAGGGGCAATAATGTTTTCTAAGCACTGCTTAAGACTTAGCTCTGCTGTGAATGTGCTCCTGTGTCCTTAGAGTAAACCTGAGGCGAACAATCAATTTCAAAATTATTTTTTGATTGTTTTATTCATTTTTAAAGGAAACACTAAAAATACAGGAAAAGAAAGTTAAAGGGATTTTGTCTGCTAACTATGCAACTTTTGTACTTTCTGATGGCTAACTTTCCATAAATTTCTAAACTGAGAGAAACTATTACATAGCAAGAACTCAATTAAGTTCTAAATTCTACATGAAGGCAGGTTCTATAAGGTGAATGTGACCAAATGACCTAAAATCTTATAATATGACCAGATGACCTAAAATCTTATTATTTCAAGGTACCTAAGAATAAAGGGATATAGCTTTGCCTTTTGAGAGTAACTAAGATAAGATATGAGGTTTGTTCATATATTGTGGTACTAGATATTCCTGTTGCTTGAAATTCTCATCTCTTTACCAATACATTAAAAGTTTCCATATTCTACTGCTTGTGTGCATGCAAGCACATACAGTATAGCATGCACAAAGGCACAGAAAGAAATGGCCCAAACAATGTATGCACATATGAATGAATGAATAAAGAAAAATAAAAGGCCCAGAAAGCTTCATGTCCAGGGAGTGGCTAATGCATATCACACAAGAGGGATACCATGTTCTTTGTGATGCTGTGTCCTGTAAGGCTGTGTGTTAGACCGATCCTCAGGCCAGGCACATTGATCAGTTACCCCTAAGCAGGGGCAAAGCATGATGGGATGTGAGAGAGCAACTAGATCAGTCTATCTGCCTTCCAGATAGATGAGAAAACAGAGATCAGGAAAGTTGAGTGGCTTGTCTACCTCCCACCGCTGATCGGGGTCAGAAGCTGAAGTAGACTCATCTCTCCTGTTCTAGGCCCTTCTGTTCAGCCAAACTGAATTCTGCAAGGTTATAAAAACTGTGTCACATATGTCACTGGACCCTTAGAAAATGCCTCTTAGTCTGGTGAGAGGCAGAAGTGGTATTTTAGAATCCTGTTTGCCTTTTATTGCTGTTACCTTGTTGAAAGAATTCCATATAAGCCTCTGTGGTCATTTCTGTTTTTCTATGTGTAAATCTCTACCATTGTGACTGTTAGCATAAAAAGGATGGATTGACTTCTGACTGTGAGAAATAAATCACCCCAACTTTTGACAGAAGAATTAGAAAAAAAAAGAAAAGATTAATTGGTTTTATTTAGTGGTTTATTGTTTATAGTGATAGCTATTAAAAATAGATAACCAGAGGCGAATAAATGTTAATGGTCCCTTCACTATTAGAAAAATCAATTGTCAGTGAATATAGTATATATTAATGTAATATTTTGTTTATAATCTCACACAGCATTTAAAAATTCTTCCTTGAGAGAATTATTTTTGAGGAATCTTTTAAGGTTAACATTACTACCAAGAAGAGAGTTGGCAGGAGGACATTTTCATCTACATATAATTTTAATGGCTTTCAAAGCATTATTTTATCATTGTATTAATGCACGTGCAATTTGTCAAGATTGATAAACTCCTTACCAAGGACTCATATATATTTCTTTGAAACTTGTTTGAGAGCAGTTAGATAGATTTCTAAATGTAAGTAATTAAAATTGTATAGTATTGAGTTATTGACCAATGCTGGACTATTAATCAAGCTAAAAAATTCTACGATCAGTGCTCAGTGTGCTGCAGCCTGGTAAAATAATAGTATTTGTGTTCAGTGAGGCAAGTAGCCACAATTAAGCACTTCACTTGACAAATGCGAGGGTACACTTTATTTTGCACTTAATTGAATTGTTGTACATGCTCGGTCACCATTGTCTCCTAGCCCTTTATTTTGGTTTCTGTTCATTGGAGCTCATGCCTTTATTAAAGGCAGAGCAATTAAGTGCTTTTGCCATTGGCTTTCTAAATGTAGTCAGCAATGTCTGGGCCATAGACCAGACCTCAGTGAATGCTATGAATATTCCTCACAACAGATTATTAATTTTCTGAACAAAGATTTTGATAAACAAATAAGAGGCCTGTCAAGGAATGATATGAAATAGTTTAGAATAGAGAAAACTCCTCAGGTTTCACACCACTCACCAGATTCTGCCTAAGTAAGCAGAAGAACTTCTGTGGAGAAGACAGAATTTTAATCTATTTTATGAAAACCCCAAATTGATTTACTTCTCATGAGCTGGAAAGAATGTGCTCTGATAACCTTGCTAATTATCAGGTATTTGTCACAACTTCCTTCCACTGCTTTTGCATCACTATCATCCTTCTGCAAGCATAGTGACATCCCATCATTTCTGTACTGCTATAAATCATTCCATGCTGCCAGATTAAACTGAGGAGATGAGGTTCAAGAAAATGACTCAAAGGGTAAATATTAGCAGGAGGGTAATAGAAGCCAGGATTTCTTTTACAAAGAGACACATTTGAGTTGGGCATGGTGGCTCAAGCCTGTCATCATAACCACTCCAAGAAGCAGAAATCAGAAGGATCATGGTTCAAGGCCAGCCCGAGGCAAAAGATTCAAGAGACCCCTGGGTATGGTAGCACGCACTTGTCATCCTAGCTACGTGGGCAGGAACAAATAGGAGCATCACAGTCCATGCTGGCTAAGGCAAAAAACGAGACCCTATCTCAAAAATAACCAACACAAAAAGGGCTGGTGGAGTAGCTCAAGTGTTCGAGCACCCACTTAGCAACTGCAAGGCCCTGAGTTCAAATCCCAGTACTGAAAAGAGACATATCTGAGTGCATGTTTATGCTTATCTGTGTCATACCAGTGTTTGTACTTTGGGTAGACCCCAGAGCAGTTTAGTATTTATTAACCACACGAGCAGCTTGCTCACTTGTCAGTGTGTTTGCCTGACTCTATGAGTAAGGTCTTACCAGGGAAGACCTTAGCATTGACAGCTTAACTCCTGTAAGGACAGTTTTTCCTGAGTTTTCTGAACTGACAGATAATAACAACTGCTTTCCCTCTCCCAGAGGGTTACTGTAAAGATTAAAGTAGATAATGGATTCTAAAACACTTTGAAAAGTGAAGAATGCCATGGAAGCATAAGAGACAATTACATATTTTCTCTTATAACATTTGGCTTAATTAAGCCTGTGTTTTCAAGGCTTACAAAAACACATTTACACTTGCCTGTGGGGAGATAAAGACAAGAAAGGAGGAGTTCTTGAAGGAGTATTCTATGATGAATACTACAAGGGAATAATTGTTTGGGAATTGATGTGTCCCAGCAGCTCTGTGAGTTTTGTTCCTGTGACAACAAGCAGTGGGAACCCAGCAGCCAAATCTCTATGCTCTGTTTTAAAAAGTGTGAAAATGTCACTCAAAAGTTTTGGCCCCATGCCTCATACGCTGACCTCACTAACCAAGGAAGAAAGTAATGACCAGGCAGTCTCTTTATTTGTTTCAGACCCTACCAATGCGGCCACTGCTCCCAGTCCTTTTCCCAACCTTCAGAGCTGAGGAACCACGTGGTCACTCACTCCAGTGACCGGCCTTTCAAGTGTGGCTACTGCGGGCGTGCCTTTGCTGGGGCTACCACCCTCAACAACCACATTCGAACCCACACTGGAGAAAAGCCCTTCAAGTAAGTCTGTCCTTTTTCTCTTAGCCTTTTTTTTGTGTGGGTATAGCACTGCCCAGCTTGACCCAGATGGTGGAGAAGGATACTTTTTAAAAGGATCTCTTGGTTTAGTGGCTGGCATTTGGAAAATGGGGTCAGGAAACCTATATCCTGGTCCTGGCTCAAAATTTTACAACCTTGGACATGAGACAATCTTTCTTGGTCTGTTTTCTCAACAGTAAAATGAGGAGGGATAAGTAAATAAGTTGAATATTCTTTCCAGTTCCTGAGAATCTGCATCTAAATTTTATCTAGGAACCCTATGGAGCTCTTATGGCCACCAGCAAACTCTATGGCCATGATGAAAGGTGGCCATAAATTTAGGACATCTGACTATACCTCTTTTGGAGAACTTGAACCCATCAGATTCTGGTGGACTCTTTCTAATTTTTTTCCTATATGTTGAAGAGTTTGAATCTATTATAGTAGCAAGCTTATGACTTTTCACTGTATACCATGTTGATGAAAAAACAAAATCAAAACCAAACACATCACACATTGATTTTTTTTTTTTTTGAGGATTTAGGGAATGTGGGAAGAGACAGAACTGAATTCTAAGGTCTTCAGCAAGAAAGGATACTTGAGCAAGAGAGTATCTTTCAAGATATAGCCTAGTCATCAAAACAGCAGACATTTGAATCATGCAATATGGTCTGTTCCTTCATCTGTTTATTCATTTGTTCGTGCATTCAACAATATGTGTCCATTCATTCATTCATTAGTGAGCACCTACTTTTATGTCAGGTACCCTGCTATGCACAAGAGATACAAAAGTGAATAGGACTCAGTCCCCTTCTACCCCAACTTTGAAGACCAAGTAGTCTAAGGGAAAGCCCAACTAATGAACAAGTAGTACAACCCAGTGTGAAAAGTACAACAATAAGACATACACATTCAATGCTTGAGGGGATGGAGTCATCAATGCAGTGTAGAAGATGATGGTTAAGATGTGTTTTGAAGGACAGGTATTTCAGGTAGCTCTATAGCATGTGGAAAGGTTTGGGAGGATGGGAGCTAGCGTGCATACATGTCAGTGGTCTCAGAGCAGCTTTTACTATCTGTTTGGTAAGCTGTTTTCCTTTTAGCACTCTTCCATCTCTTTTATTCATGTGCCATACTGTCTTTCCCTGTTTCAGAAGGAAAGTTAAAAGGGCATCAATGGTTAGTATAGTTTGCCTTCTGTAGGACAAGATCAAGCAAGAAAGAAATGATTGAGGCACTAGGAGGCAAATACCCTTGCTTAGTCTCAGCCAAGTAGTCTTTCCAGAGTCTTATGAGCCCTGACTTTCCCTCTGGACCTGCTCCTAGGACACACTGCTGTGCTCATCCTGAGTCCAGCTGCAGCTTGGGGCAGCAGAGTCCTGTTGGTCTGTTACTGCCTGCCTCAGTTGTCTGCCAGCAAAGGGGGAGCTCATAAAAGGCTTCCATCTTTGTTCACCTCCCAAAGAATTAGTTACCTCTCTTCATCATTCTTAATTATTTTGCATAATGGTTAACTGATGGTATTAATAGTAAAAATAGTGATAATTTTTGTCTCTGTGCATGGGTGCAATTTTTTCATTAAATAAAATGCTTCTGGCTAAGGGGAAAGAAAGGTGCCTAAAATTTGTCTACAATATGGTAGCCTAGCTGTGCTCTTGGAGGCTACAGTAGCCTAAAAAGGGCCCCTTTCTCTTATCCACCCTGAGGAGACATATGGCTTGCTCCAGTTTTAGGAGTTCCCTGCCACTGGTGTTTGTGTCCATTCTAGTGGACTTTTCACTCTCAAGCCCATCTTCCTGGGGGCCTCACAGATTCTGGCTTCTCCATTGCTCTGGAGGTAGCAGGTGACAATGGCACTTTTCTTGTGCCTTTGAGCAAAAGAGCTACTCAAAAAAGACTAAGGATCTTCCTGGTCTCATGTATTAGAGAGAGTGGGCAGCTAGATGGATACAGTGCCAGGGATCAGATTGATTTTTATCTTGTTGTGTAAATAGATTTTAGTAATTAATTGAAGAGGTTTCAGGGTTAAAATAGGAAATAGATTTCTATTAATGTTAAGGTGTTACTTGCGTGTAACCTCGTTGACGCCACTCAATTTTTTTCTTTAACATCGTGTTTTTGTCATGTTTCCAATAGAGCTGCCATCTTAACTTTAATCCATCAGATTAATATTTGAAAGGCTTTAGTGATTGCATTCCCACCTTCTTTCCAACACTATATTTTGTGACCATATCTAATTTCATCTGGGAAAAACAAACAAACAAAGAAAAACAAAAAACAACAAGCAGAATTGTTGAATTAGATTCTGTGTTCATGCTTTAGTTCCTTCTACTCCTGCATTTATCAAGATAGCCACGTGCTATGCTTTTTTGGTTTTTACATTATTCAAATAGATACTGCCAGGAGAGAGCTGAGTGTGTGCTTATTTTGAAAATGCAAGGCTTAAACATCTTTTAGGAGATGGGAAGTTAAATCCTTTAGTGTATACAACCAGGTCTTTCGGGATTCAACTGTCCCAAGGGAGTTTTGGGAATCTTCCAACTATAGCTCATGGATGTCCAACCCGTGGACATTTGTAAATATTATGAAGATACCCTTTTACAAGCTTATAAAACAAACATCCAGGAAAACTTTGTTGCAGATTAGCCAATAAAAAAGTTTTCGTCACAACAGTTAATTTTACTACTTCAACTAATGGGTATTGGCTTAAACAACATTGCAGAGAGAAGCATCTTGTAAAGATGCACAACCCTTAACTGTACGCCTGGGGCAACTTCCAAGTGGATGACCCAAATGGCTCAGTTCTCAAATTGTCACCCCCCCACACCCTGCCCCCCAAGCACTTAGAAGGCCTTCACAGGATTCTCAGGGTGAGTTGAGACTGAGTCTGTCATGTCAGGGAAAAGCCCTTTCCAAGTTTGAAAATCTGTTGAGAAGTGGGTTTTGAAGGCAGGTCAAGATTATTGGCACCCAGAGAAGGCTGGAGATTTGTCATTAAGAGGTCAGAAGTTATTCCAGGATTTGCCTCACAATATGATTAACTGGAGTCTGACTGAAAGAACTCAAGTCCCAAGTTCAAGGTAGATCATGGACCTGTTCACAACTAACCTAAACTGTACACTTAGATTATCTAAGGTGAAGGAGAACATCAGAAAACTGAAGAAAGGATCATATCGAACAAAGGTCTTGTCTTTTAGTTTGTTCTGTGAGACTGGAAGTCATGGAGAAGAAGGAGCAAAAGCAAGAGCAAGGCCTTTTTTTTTTTTTTTTAACAGCAATGACAGTGCTTTATTGCAGAAAGGAGGGAGGGAGGGAGGGAAGTTGGCAGGCTAAAAACTGTTCTTCCAGTGAGGACCCTTTCTCCCGGTCTATTACTAAGCAGAGTCTCTCAGGGGTTCAGGTGGGGTACTCTGCTCTGCCTGGGAGGCTCTGTGTGAGCTGCTTGGTGCCTGACTTCTGAGCTGGGAAGCTGCACAAACAGGCCAGGATTTCCTAAGAGGCCTTCATCATCCTTTTTATAGAAGCAAGGGAAAATATTCACCACTATGTTTTTGCCTCCAGTAAAGGGGGTTTGGCTCAGTTTAAAAAAAAAAGTCAAAGGAAATTCCAAAGGATGTCGAATATTTGAACAAGATTTAGACAAAAATCAAAGAAAACCTGAAGTGCAAATCAGTAATTATGCATTGAGCACATCACATGTATAAAGCTCTGTGCAATTTGGCCCAGTTCAAGAAGTATTTTGTGTCATGTTACAGATGCACAGAAAGCATGTGTAACAGAACTTTATGTGGTTTTGTTAAGCTCCCAGTACATATAATCCACAGTTGTCACAGATAAGTGAAGAAGGATCTCAGACTGAACAGGAAATCAAGTCCAGTTAAGACTCTCATACTGTAGAAGGTTGGAGACTTTCTTTTTGCTGAAATACTGGAAGACTTTTCACTTGCATGTTCTTGTGACATCCCATCCAAGGCTGTGACATCAGCTCCTATGCTAAAGGAAGGCACAGAACAGATCCTGTGTGCAAGAGTGTTCCTTTCCTTCTGGCTCATCCCTTGCAACTTTCTTTCCTGCTTTTTCTTCTGCTATATCCTAGGAAGTCCAGGATTAGAGGTAGATTCTGTGCCCTATCATGTCTGAGATTGTAATTCAGAGTTAATTCAATGCCAATGCAACTGAAGTCCAGCTGCGACCTCCCAGAACCAGTTGAGTTGCTTGAATTAAGTCAGTTTTTTCTGATGACTTTCATGAAGGTGTGAAAACATTTTGTGGCAATTTCCCTAACCTTTAAGATGCTGAGTACAAAGCCAAGGCCCTGGAACCAGTGTAAAGATCAGTTAGAGATGAATCAACTTGGGTTGTAACACATTTGTACATGAAAGCAATGCTAGGAATCTCTCTGTATAGCTATCCTTAACTCAACTAGCAAAAATGCTTTGTCTTTCTTATTATGCTTATGTCTTCTCTTCAGCAAAATTAGAGATAAGGGTAGAACAGGTTCTGCCTGGAAGCAAGGGGGGGTGGGGAGGAGACTGTGGGGGCAGGAGGCAGGGGGAGAAATGACCCAAACAATGTATGCACATGTGACTAAATGAATAATAAAAAACAAACAAACAAAAAGGTCCTTTTCTTATTTTTTTAAAAATATTTTTATATCTAGCTGTCTTCACCTCTTCAAATATACAAATTATATTCATATAATTTCCAGACCACATTGGTATTATTTCTAGTAGCCCTCTTTCCTCAAGAAAAGGAAGTTCCCAGGAAAAGGATCTCAATTCATGTCTATGTGTTGTTGGTTTTCTTTCTCACAGTTGATGGGAGGGTGCTACCAGACATGATTTTTCAGGAATGATCATCTCACTCACCCTGTAGGCCAGAAGAATTTCCTGACTATAAATTTCTCGATGCATGCAGATATCTGTGAGACATTTAGGCAGATAGTTGAGAAAGCGTCAACTCTCCTCTTAATGTCTCCATTCGATGCGGATATTTAAATGTTGCATGTAGACATATGCTTCTGCCTTATATGGAGCACCACACTTCCCACTTAGGAATTCTTCACATTCTAATAGCCAAGATTAGAAGGGCAGAAGCATGGCCCTGGTAAATCGTCATTCCTCACAATTGTTCAAACTGTTTTGCTGTCTTTGAAATTGATTCTTGAGCTTCAAAATTAAAAAGAAGGAATATAGTAATTTGGGAGTTTGTCAAGTAGTGAAAGGTAGTATATTTTGACATACCAATCCAGTAACTAATCTGTTTTCTAATAAACAATCAGCTGCTCACTATCCTGTCATCAGCACTCTCAGAGCTCTGGAGAGGGGATGAGCTGCCCGTGGACGTTAATGAATACACCAAAAATCATTAGGTGATCAATACTTCTGAGTTATTTCCATTGAGCTGATAGGTCTGATACATTAAAGCTGACATTATACATTTGTCAAGATCACAGTGCAGTTTTTAACAGTGAGCAGGCTGCTCAAAATATTCCCTGAAAGACAATCAAAGAAATGCAACTTCTTCACTCTGCCATGGTCTGCTGACACAGGAGCCTGGAAGATTCAAGCATGTAGGCCAGCTCCAGCCTTGTAGCACTCCCAAACACACGCGCACCCCCAACCTGGACGATTGGCTCTTTTTATGTGAGATGCTAGCCACTTTCATGGCTTACTAAACAGGAGAAAGAGAGGAACGCTCACCTAACAAGAGGCTTCCTCATTTGTCAGAGGGCAGTGGGGAGTTTCTCCTGTTGTTTTTTGCCACTGGCCCCCAGAGTGTGGGGAGCTGAGAACTGGAGATTGCAATATTTAAAAGAGGGGAACTGTCTGCAACTCCTCTCGGTTATCTTTTCCTTCAAAGGTTTGAGAAGAGGACTTTAAAGGGAATGGCAAAGGTGGCTACTGGGCCCTGACCCATTCCTGGCTAATGCTCCATGTCTCCCAAACGAGTAAAGAGGTGACAGGGCAGTCGCTGTGCCTAGCTTGCTGCCACTATTCATCTGTGTAGGTGTGAACACACATATAGTCACAGTCAGCCAGGAACTACAACCATCACAGAAATACGGGAGCTCCCACCAGACTGTGTAAGTGTGCTCTGTTTCTAGAGTGAGTAGCCATAGGAAATAGGGCTGGGCCCAGAGGCTCTAGATCACAATCTCCTTTTTCCCTTTCCTTTTTAGGAGGAGAAAAAGTAGTCTTAAAGTGTGAAGCCTGTTTTTTTTCCTCAGACACACTGGCCTGTAATTATGTACGTTATTTCCACTGTACTTCTGTAGGGTTAACATCTTAAACAATTCAAACACCCGTTGATTGCCCAGTTTTTCTGAGTCTCCTCACCATGGCACAAATCCTAGTTTTAAGAATTGTTTTAAGCCTGCATTTTGGTTGGGCTGTGACTCTGTAACTGGCTTTTGCCAAAAAAGCAGCCACGCATGCCCACCTGCTTCAGTCACTGCACACTAATGTTCTTAACTGCTTCCCTGCTTTCCAAAGTCCGCTCTTTGGCTGTCGGGCTGAGGGGAGTGGATTTCTGGGTTTTAAATTAGCAGCAGGTGAAATTCTATTTGTCATCAATTTCTCTTTGGGGTTACAGAGCAGAAAACTGCAGACAAGCTGCTGCTTTGATGGCTCACTCCTAAAAATCTCTTTTTGTTCTTTATCTATTTGAACTGACAGTGATCAGAGCTACAGCAGGACAGGGCTCTCTGGAGAAATCACCTTCCCCCTGCCTATTGACAGATCCCTCTGTTCTGCATCAGACAGGCTTTGTCCCATCACAGGCATCCAGGCCTTGGAAGGAGCCACCAATTAAACCTCTTGAGCCAGTAAAATCTGAAGCCACTTTGGAGTGTCTGTTCTGATTAGGCAGGATGAGAGAAAGCCCATCACCCTTGCAGGCCCCGCTCCCTGGTCTCAATTTTCTCTCTTGCCTCCACCAGGTGCGAGAGGTGTGAGAGGAGCTTCACGCAGGCCACCCAGCTGAGCCGACACCAGAGGATGCCGAATGAGTGCAAGCCAATAACCGAGAGCCCAGAATCAATCGAAGTGGATTAACTGATTGACTGGTTGGAATTAAACTGCAAGGAAAGTCATGATTAAATGTCACGGACATTTAAGCAAAACCAAAGATTTCCTCTGAGCAACTTTCAATCAGTCCCAGAAAACCAAAAGCAGTAATAAAATAAGTAAGATGTTAAGAGATATTGATCCTGGCGTGGAAGTCAAACCAGGAAAGAGATTATTTATTTATGACTAGGGAAGAGACTGATCTTGTGGACAACTAGCCTAGGATGGCTAACACTTCCAATCCCACCCATGTATTTGCTTTGTCTCTAAAAAGCTTTTTTAAATTCTTATTTAATACCAAAGGGAGGAATTGAGTGGGTTCTTCTGCCCACAGTTGTGACTAAGAACACGCAGGGACTTGGTTCTCGTTGCACCTTTTTTTCATAGCATGTTTCAAGGGGACCTATATGTACAGCCTTCTTCCTGCCGTGTTGGTTTCGCCTGGCCACCGTGGGCTGCTCCAGTGGGGACCGGGGACCGTGGAAGCAGAAGCTAGAGCCTGGCTCAGGCAGTGCCATCTGCAGCCCTAGAGATCCTTGTGGTCTCACTTTTCGTGCACTTTCACGCAGCTCCTTCCATCCACCAGCCTGATCTCCATGAAGGAAAGCCGGGAAGAGGAAGAAGAAGACAGTTTGAGTTTCCAAATGCAAAGGAGAAAGTGGGGGACTTCCTTTCTCCGTCAGGATTTCAAAAACATGTAAAATGTACGGAGCTTCATAATACAGTATATTGTTCTGAAGCAGCTAGTTGAGAAAATTTTTGTTTTCAATACCATTTTAGCTTAAAAATGAAAACAGAAATAAAGTTCTTTGGTCTGAGGCTGAATATAAGGTATTAGACTTCCAGTAATTTTTTTGGTTGTTTCTATGCAAGTGGTGACTATGTGAGCAAGGGTAACCTAAGCAGTTTCAGGCCAGGTTGCTTCGTCCTCCTTCCTCCTGCAGGTAAAACCTGGGAGGCTCCTTTCCCCATTGCCAAGTGTGGCAGAGCATTTGTGCAGAAACAGGTGAAAACAGACAAGGAAACATGTAAGCAGGAGCCATGGGAGGGTTTGGAGGGTTGGGGTTAGGGCAGATGGTCCAGGAGCAACTACATCTATCAATAGGAATTCCCTTTTCCTCTCTCAAGATTGATTAAAACCAAAAGAGACAGAATTATGTACATAGCTTCTTTGTTTGAGTGCTTGGAAATCGAGTTTAAGTTCAGCTGGCCTTTTGGTGGTTCAACAACAGTGCTCAACTTTGGGTCATATTCCCTGGAAATGCTGCTGTGTTGGGAAGAAATGATGGTGCCATAGCTCTTGGTCCATCAGCTCCAGCAGCAGTTCAGAGGCTATCTACCTCGTGGTCAGTTTAGATGAAAGCAAATGGTTTATTTAGAGTGTTTTCTAATAACAATTTCTGTCTGTGGATGGGTTACCTGATAGCTGGGCACAGCATTTTTGAACAATCCTGTTGCTTCTTTAAAGAAAAAAAAAAAGGAAGGAAACTGTATGATTTAGTTCACTCTATCATCATGTATTTGGTTCTCCAAAATCTTTCTCCTCTCTCAATTTTGCTTCTCTAAACCTTAGCAGCCCACTGCCACAATTATAACAGGATAAGTTCTCATTGACTGCATTTGTAGTTACGATAACCAGTAAGACTGTGGGCCACAAAGAGAAACTTGGTTAATCTTGACCTCTGTGGCTCAATGTCAAGTCCTTCACCTAGAATCATTCCCCAGTTCTTGTTGGTTCCTTGTCAGGGAAGTAGAAAGTAATCTATGTGGCACTATAACTGTTGCCGATTGAAAGTTATTTTCTCTGGTAGGTAGGAATGCATTCTGATTTTACAGTTCTGTGCCCTAAGTGACAGAGACATTTGTCAACAATGTGTCACTGGGAAGGGTGGAAAGAATGTGTAGACATATTGACCTGAAACCTGCAGAAAATGACGGATCGGCTGCACAAGAAGAAATGATTCCATACATTAAGGCTGAGACATTTGTTTGAACTTCTTGAAAATGGTAATAAGGGACTCATCTGTATGTCTCTATGGCTTTTTCAGTGAGAAAAATCAGCTAGGCCATTTGTTTCATTCCTCGGTTGAATGACTATAAGGCAGCCCCCTTGGTTCTCGTGGGCTGCACGTGTGAGAACAAGAAGCCTTTACTCCTCCCTTGATGTTTGGCAGTTTCTGTAACAATGATGTCTGCCACCCTGATGGCTTTGCTAACTGGTCCTAACCTCCCCCTGTGCAGGGAAGTAACCTCTACCAAAAGATTCTTCTAGCAGTCTCTATTTGAGCATGTTTCTTTCCTCTATTGTTAAGAAAATGTTTTCATGTATATATTCCACCAATTTTGGTCAGGAAATATTTTCTATTTAGCAAACAGAAAATTGGACACTCCTAATTTCCAGGCATTTGAGAAGATTCAGTTTTCGCATTTCTGAGCCCTTGGGAGCCTCCAGCTGATCTGCCTGGGCCGTCTGTCCATAGACAGGTCTGCACCCGGAGTCCCGGAGCAGGTGCAAGAGCATTTGGGTCCCAAATGCCTTTGATCAATGTACATTCTGGGGAGGGACTTCTCCTCGAAACCTCCCGATGGCAGAAAAGCTTTTGATTTTCTATTAAGAATGGACACATATCCCCCAGGACACAAAAAGTGGGTAGTGGAAACTAGTCATAAAGATTTGCCAGTTTTCTCTATTAGCAGTGTCCTGACTAATAATGATATAAAGAGAATAAAAGCTCTGAACCACTGAGGAAAGAGGACATCTAAGATAAGGAATGTGGACTGCTAGAACTGAATCAGGCTGGGGGCATGGCTCAAGGTGTACAGCACCTGCCTAGCAAGCAAAAGGCCCTGAGTTCAAACCCCAGTACTACCAAAAGGATGGAATCGGGGTTCGGCTTTTGAAGCAATCCTTCTTTACTCTTTTCTGTGAAGGGGGACAGAAGAATTTTTTTTCCAGAATAAGACTTTCCATCCTAGCATATTCTGATTTGTTTAGCTAAGAGTCTAAGCCCAAGGACAGTGCCAGAAAAAACTCATAGTGCAGGGAGACCCCATCTCCAAAATAACCAAAGCAAAATGGACTGGAGGTGTGGCTCAAGCAGTAGAGTGCTTTATAAGTGTGAAGACCTGAGTTCTGAGGCTCCTGTCTCACCAAGAAAAAAAAAATCGTAGTGCAGGAGGACGATGGTGCTGACCATCACATTTCTAGAAAGATCTCAGCAACCTAAAGAAAGCTAAATATTTTCCCCAGGAAATGTGCATTAATTGTTTTTCAGATAAGCTTTTCATTCTGGGTTTATCTTTATCTTTAAAAATTCCTTTTTTCAGGGGTAATATGTTTTTACAAAGTTATTGTGTGGGTAATTAAAGTTATAAGTCTTAATCTTTTATAATTTGGTTCTATTAGTACGTTTTTACTGATTGTTCATTCAAGTTTAGTCTTCTTGGGAAACTGCACATAACAGAAAAAAATGATGATACTGCTTCTGTCCTGTTCTGTTTTTGAGTTGTATATTAGAAGAACTTCATTCATTTGCCAGTGCATCTGTTTTTCCACCAATTGGTTCATTATTTCATTCATTTATTCAGCAGACATTTACTGAACTCCTGTTTTGCATTAAGATCTCATTGTAGGAGCTCACCAAAAGCAACATTATTTAAGGAACTATTGTTGAGAAAATAATTTTCTCCTCCTAAGTTGCCAGCTAGTGGCACAGGTGTTTTTAGTCTTTTCAACCACTGTCTCAGTGAAGTCACAGAGATTGCTCGCTCCAACTGGGAGAAGGTGAGAGATACAAACTCAGCCAGATCCCATAGAGGAGCGTATTTCAAAACACATCAAATGTACAGCTTTGGGTATCCCCAGCTGCTGATTCCCAGCAGTGATGTCGACGGACCAGGATTAGGGCCAGTATCTTAGGTTTTGATGGGAACTCCTAGATCCTTAAGGGGTTAGAGGTGCCTCATTAGTGACAAGCCTTGGCAATGTAGCCCCTCTCCTCAGTGTGTGGGTGGGGTGCTCTCAGAGGTGAGGACTCCCAAGCAGTCTTCTTCAGAGTCTATCTCACTGCTCAGGTGCTTCAGGGAGCATATCAGAAGGGACATGCAGCGACAGTTTTAAAATAGTAGTTGTTTGGTTAGATTTAATGTTTTAATCTGTCAGACTCCTGATGTGTTAAGATTGGAGGACCTTCCTCTTCAACGGCACCACTCTCTGAGGCCCCAGGACTCTGGTGCATCTTTGCAAAACTAATTGCTAGTAATAGTTATTACAATTCATGTAAGAAACTAATATTTAATTGCTTTTCATAGTACAAATAGCATCATTACTTACTTTAAATGATTGCACTAATTTAAAAAATTAAATGTAAATATTTGTTGAGTTGTTTCAAATGGAATGTGTGGAGCATCTCATAAAATGGGCACTGCCAGAACAAAGTAGGGCGGGGGCCGCACACCAGCAGCCTATGTTTACGAGCAAGTCCGTTGCTTTTCTATTAAGGTTACACGGGTCTCCAGAAACTAGGCCAGGAATAACAGATGAACTCCTTGATGCAAATTTAACTTTGTTTCCTGTAGGTTTCTCCAGTTCCTGACATCAAATCCTGAGAGATACTAAGAGATGTGCATCTTTAAGTAATAATAGCAGGTTCGGGAAATGTCATTCCTTTGTGATCCCTTCAAAGTGAAGAGCTGGAGCCAGGTGTGGTGGTTCATATCTGTAATCCCAGCTCTTGGGATGCTGAGGTCAGAGGATCATGCATTTGTGTACAGCCTGGGTTATATAGTGAGACCTTGTCTCAAACCAAACCAAACAAGAGTGAAGAGCTTTGGAGACCTTTTCCAAAGAGAATAGATGTTTGGGAACTTACCCACCCAAGGTATTGTAGTTTTCTCTACACTAGTATTTATCTGAACAACCATAAAATAACAACGCAGAGTCTCAAGAAATGCACACATTTCAGCCCTCCTCCAGGTTAAATTCTAGACTCCAAAGGATCAGCTGTCAGGTACCACTGGTCAGAGAGAGCGAAACTGAAAAGAATATTGTTTTGTCTTTGGAAGTCTTGCCACAGAAGCTTAGCCTGCAAATTGAGATTTTGTTTAACCTTTAAAATACTCTTTAGTTTCTTCTTTTAAGTAAGTTTGTTAGTCAGATTAATATGTAAAATGACAAAACCAAAACTATGTAAAAAAAGCTGGGCAAAGACATGAAATTATTGCACTGTCTTCCCTATGTAGTGAAGATACTACTTTTGTACTCCAAATTGGAAAAGGATCTGTTGAATAAATTTTAATGAAAAAATAAGGAAACTCTGAACTCATCCCCTCAGATGATAACGATCATAACTTCCATTGTCAGTTGCTGTCAGACTCTGTTCTAAGTGCTTAAAGGTGGATTACCTTGCTTAATCCTCGGTCACTCTGACAAAGATACTCTCATCATCCTTTTTCATGTATACTTAGCAGTGTTCTCTCAGCAGCTTCTTTACTCCCTCCAACCCCCACCCAAACCATGAACTCCATAAAAAGGGAAGATGCTTCCCTGTGCAAAAATTCTTCTAGGAAGCAAGAGCTTTTAAAAATTAACAAACACAAGTCTAATTTGTTTACAAGATGTGTTTGTGAAAACAACTCGAAAGCACTCCAAATCTGCACTGTGGTCGCTGCTGACTTTGTAATCTTCCATTCCATTGCTGGGCTGCAGAATTTCAAAAACTCATTGCTGACAGGCACCTTTTGTTTTTCTAAACATGCAACGCAAATTCTACATTAAAGAGAAAAGTAATAGCCCTCTGAAGTGCGCAAAACCCATCAGGACGA